TTCACTTGCAAGGATTTTACTGCTAAAGTTAGTAGAAGAGTGAGGTGGAACATGTAAATGGGCGGAAGGTGCATACATGAGGGTAAAAGCCTTGTATTTAACGGTTTGTTTGATGTAACGTATAAGGTCTTATAGTATAAACTTATATTATATGTTATGACATTTTTAGTTGTTTGGTGTGACTACCATATAGTATAAGCTTATATAGCAAAATATTTTAATACATCAAAATGATGTATAACTTAATCATGCCTAAGAAGATGAGATTAGGCCTGGTAAGAGATTAGTATATTAACATCGCTGACAAATGTAATTATCAAGAATTAATATATTATTTTAATATTAATATTAAAATAAAAATTAATTTTTCAATATATTAAATTTTAAAATATTGGAGATTTTTATTTTAATAAAAATTAATATATTTTTTGGACGCATTGATCAATAGATTCTTTAAAAAATTAATATCACATGACATTTGGAAGAATTATATAAATTCTTTATTAAAGGGTATTTTTGTCAAAAATATTTATTTTTATCCTATCTAGTATTATACAATGTATTATCAAACACTGGATGATATTATCTTATACAATACCATGTCAAACACTAGATAGTATTAAAATTTAATCAGGTCTTATACAATCAGGCCTTATACTATCATGTCTTATACTACCAGGTTTTATCTTATATTGTGCACCAAACATGCCCTAAGGGATTAGGGAATGTTGTTTTATCTTAAACCGATGACACGAAAACTTACCTTGCAAGCTAACTATCCAATGCCAAGAGTCCAACCAATCTCAAAGCCCAAACACAGCAGAATCACTATCTGTTTTGGACCAGCAATAATATCAATATACAAGCATACAAGTGTATGACATAAAGACGTCTTTCCTTTACTTTTCACGTCTTAAGGCTTCTCACAAAGCCACTAGCCCTTAATCACTTGATTCTGACTTAGATTAATCATTACAGAAGTCCTACTTCATCAAACTAGGGTCCACAAACCCATAACAACATTCCGTATGAACAGTGAAGCTACTGTTCTTCGAAAACCCAGAATATCCGGATATTCGTCGGGGGCATATTCGGATATCAATATCTGGATATCTGACTAGCAATATCCGGATATTCAGAACCCCATATCCGGATATCCATATCCGATATCAATATCCGGATATTTCTAACCCAATATCCGAATATTTCGCGGCAGAACTCAGATTCTGCATTTCGCGAGATATCAATCCAAATGTTCCATTTTTATCGATTACAGAAGCTTAGACATGCATTTCTAGGTGTGTTTAACCCTTCCCAACCTTAAGTTATGATCTTTAGCTTGTTACATGCATCAAGGTTCCATTTTTAACCATTAAACTCATGATCAAAGGTGATGAAGCTTACCCCAGCTCAAAACTCAGAAAAGGTTTCTCTTGGAGCTCACCAAACCACTTTAAAGATTCTGACTTTGAAGGAAAACGAAAATGACACACCACAATAGTTCTTTCTCTTCAAAGGTCACTCCTTGGAGCTCCCACAACCAAGGAAATGGTGGTCACAAAACTCAACCAAAAAGACCAGCCCTCTACCTTCCCAAAACAGAGACACCAACTCAGTATATGGCTGAATCAACCCTCCCAAACCACTCTACCAAGTGTTTACCATGTAGAAAGAAGAAGAATCAATGGAAAAAGAGATAACTTGAGAGGTTTTTCATGCAAGAAGGCCAAGGAAGAAGATGACCAGCATGGAGACACACACTCAACAGCTCACTCACGCACAAAGACTGAGGAATCAACCTAGGGTTGTGTGAAATGCACTATTTATAGGCGATTTAGAGTTAATCACACAATATTAGCACTAATAGCTACGTTTAGAATTTTAATCCCAAACTTAGGATTCTGAACCTACTCATTTTTCTAAGATTTTTCATATTTTTATTATATTTTTCGCAGCACCTTTTCGATATGCGCTTTTCCATAGCCAGTATCAGTTCTCATTATTTTAACTTGAAACTCGTTTTACAAGTCCTATATAATATTCTAGGAATATTCATGCACTTATTATAATTTTCCGAGATACTTCATCGGTACGCATTTATACTAGTAGCAGAACCAGTATCTGCACTTTTCGTCAGAAAAGCGACTTTCAACTTTAATAAACACTTATCATAATTATTTAAGCCTCATAATAATTATTAGGGTCAATTATGGAATTATTTCCTAATTTCTCATAATTAATTAATTAACTTCCTTAATTAACGGTGCAGGTTCTTACACGGGGCTTCAATTTTGTGCTTCCAAATTGGGCTTCTTTTTGTCCTGTTTTCCTACAAAATTAGAAGAAAATCAGTAACAAGATATCTAATTGAGATGTATCAATTTAATAACAATTATAGCCCTTTTATCCAAGATTGATCAAGATTCTTTTTCTTTTTGGCTTTAAATCATATATATGTTGGAGGCATATCAGATAGAAGTTGCTCATTCAAAACAAGGCATTTTTATTTGTCAACGGAAGTATGTTCTTGACATCCTTAAAGAAGCAGGAAAACTCGGATGCAAACCTTCCAGTACTCCGATTGAGTAGAACCACAGACTAGGAAGTGCAAATGAGATCCCCCAAGTTGGTAAAGGATAGTATCAACGCATAGTGGAAAGATTGATATATCTAGCTTATACTAGACCTGTTCTAGCTTATGCAGTTAGTATTGTTAGTCAATTCATGCATGATCCAAGGGAGAAACACTTGCGAGCTATGGACAGGATTCTCCAATACCTGAAAGGCACACCAGGCAGAGGACTATTGTTCCAGGGAGGAGAAAATCTCTCCTTAGAGGTTTATATAGATGCCGATTATGCTGGATCTGTGACTGATAGAAGATCTACTTCGAGCTATTGTATGTTTCTCTGTGAAAATCTAATAACATGGAGAAGTAAAAAGCAAAATATGGTTGCTAGATCAAGTGCACAAGTGGAATTTCGGGCCATGACTGAAGGGATCTGTGAGTTATTATGGTTGAAAATCAGTCTTGATGATCTCAAGGTGAGATATGAAGGATCTATGAAGTTATTTTGTGATAACAAGTCAACCATCTGTATAGCCCATGATCCAGTCTAACACGATCGAACCAAGCATATTGAGATTGATCGCGACTTCATCAAAGAGAAACTCGATAGTGGCCTGATTACTACTCCATATATCCCTTCTGGTCGTCAATTGGCTGATGTCTTGACTAAGGGTCTACCTAATGATAGGTTTCAAGCGCTTACTAGCAAGTCGGGAATGATAAATATCTATTCCTCAGCTTGAGGGGGAGTGTTGTAAATATTAGAATTTTATCTTCTTATTTGTATTAGCTAGAATACTCTAGAAGTGTATTTTGGGCTTAGCCCATAGGTCTTTCAGTACTCTTTAAATAGAGAGCTCTTGTACAGATATTATACAATTTCATAATATACAAATCCTCTTTTCTAGTATTTATATTTAAATAGTTGAGATACTCTCGTATGACCATGACTTCGTGTCGTGTAAGAAGATCTATTTCCAATCTTATGCATGCCATGACATTCTTGTAAAGTCACTTTCGGCTAAGGTCAGAAAAAGAGGCAAAGTCATTGTTCACCATTCAGAAAAGTGCATGTGGAGTTGCACATACGCAAATTGTATGTAGAAGGAAATCTCCTATAAATAGAGATCATTTCCTTCAGTTCTATGCATCCCAAAATTCCACAATTTAGAGAGAAAACTCAATTTTCTCTTGAGTGTAATTTTGAGTAAGGTTTATTCTCCAAATATAAGACATAGTGATATTGTTCTCTCCTTTTATTTAGAGATATTATACTTTCTTCTACTTAATGAAAATCTTTTTTGGTCTTGCCCGTGGTTTTTCTTAATTGGATTTTTCACGTAAATCTTGTGTGTCCCTTCGATTGACATATTTGTTAATCTTTTGACCGGTGGAATCAAGATAAAAATAATTACACCATTGGTGTCTAGGAAAGCAATTAAAAGACATAGCCTTAAATTTAATGATTATTTAATTAGTCATCATTGCATAGCACATAGAGATTCCCATTGGATTTACACTTATGGGTAATTCTTATTTCTCTAAACTCTAACTTAACTATATGATACTCCGTTACCTAACACAATTTTTTTTGGTACTTGCCCAATCTGTTTCAGAAATGGGGACAGCCAAATATAGTTCCTTTGAGGTACCAAAGTAGTCACAACTGTCATGTGTGTTGCATTGGGCTTGTGCATGAATTAAGCTAACACAATGACTTGGAAAGCAATATCCAGTATAGTAACGGATTAAATTTGGTAGAGTTTCTAGTAGACATAGTTGTTTGAATTTCTTTTGCCTCTACCACATGAGTTCGCTGAAGTAAATCTTCGATATATTATGTTAACTGAGAAACAAAGCGTTGTTGAGTGGGGACAACTTCGATGCAAGGACCTAAATATTTTGTTGAAAACTCAGATACAATAACATTGGTTCATATTTTACATTTAGATTATGATTTTTGTTAACCGAAAACATAATAAAATATAAGCGGATGAAAACGAGTGAAGTAGTGAAGAAAACATAATAAAATATTACTTAACATAATCCTCATTAAATGAATCAAGATAAATCTAAATCTTTATTCTTTTTTCCCTTTTCTCTTTTTTGTTTTGCGATTTATGCGTATGATCACTCGGTCTAGCAACGAGCATATGAGATTATTGCACCTTTCCTAGCTATGAAGAAAGATGAACATGACTTGTAGGCATGAAAACAATGTGATTCCATAAGGGAGATGAAGAAAGGGTATGTACGCATTAATCATCTCATTCAAAAATCTCATTTTTGTACAACAAAGTGATGGGAAAGAATATATTATCTTGTATTCTTGTAACACTTTGAAGATTACATAATGCTCTTTAGCTATGCCCCTTTAAGGAAAGAATTAGAGGTAAAGCATATTCAGGCAAATTGGAACAATCACTAAGTTCATATTCATAAAGATGGATGTGATAACCATGCAAGTACATCAACCGCAAAATGCAAAGTCCTCAAACTGTATGAATAGATAGGAAAGTAATAGACATATGTAATAACATTTTTTAGAATAAGCACAAGAACAAAACTACCATGACCATAAACTGGATAGAATTCAAGACACAAAAGCAAACTAGACCCCAATTCTAAATGACATATCTATCTTCCATTTGGCTCAGAAAGCCTTGATCTGCATCCTACCTGTTCTAGAAACTTAGTAAGTCGCAAATGCTTTGCAGCCCATTGCTCAGCCAACTTATGCTCCTTGGTTTCTGCATCTCTTCTCAACCCTGCCAACTGTTCCCTATATTCTGCTTCAATTCTATCCAAAGCAGCTGTTTGCTCCTCCCTGAGAGCTTTAATCTTTGCTTCAATTTCTTCCATCTTCTCCCTTCTTCGGCACGCCTTCTCAGACTCCAACTGCAACTCCACCCGGCTTAAACGCCAAGCGGCTTCCTTCTTATGCGCTGCCAAAGCATGATGTACTTCTTCTAACTCTTTACAGCACTCCACCAACTCAGACATGACCATGTTTTCACCAAAAGCTAGAACAGACCCATGAGGTGTTACATTCCCCAAAACAAGAGGGGCATTATCGGGTCCTCTTACAGGTTGCAACCATGGAGGAGGTGCTGCCACCGTCGAGGGAGAAAGACTTAGCGTCACGGAAGGGGAAGGTGGCCTAACAGGTGCAGTGCTGTTAGAATTGGAAAGCCAAGAAGGAAGCAAAGCTGGTGCATCAGTATGCAGAAAAGAACTGTTAGAAGCAGCCATAACAAATGATGATGGTGAAGGGTGCTCTTTCACTAGTTTCTCCGCGAAACTCTCCAATATATGCTCGTACTTGCTATCGTTAATTGGGTCAACAGTTCTGTTAATCCCTTTTGTTTCTCTTTGCTGCTTCTCCTTGAACACTTCCCACCACTTCCCTAACCTCTTAGCGGTGCGACCGGGAACTTCGGCAGCAATCTTCTTCCATTTGTTCCCATGTTTTGCTTGAAGGTTGATGACAAGGCGCTGCTCTTCCTCAGTAAGAGATCCTTTCTTAATACCCGGCTTGAGATAGTTCTTCCACCTTTCTAAGCATGACTTGGCATCCCTGTTAAGAGTTGTGTTCATGCGCTGAGACACGAGATTCCATTCCCTAGGACCATATTGTTTGACATAAGCACGTAGTAAAGCATCCTCTTCAGCTCTCCACCGTTGCCTATCCTTCATTTCCAAGTGCAAATCCCACAGCCAGTTTCTTGAAACTTGAAATCTTCATGATGTCTCTAGAAAACTCATTACAATTTAAGGCATCAATTCACTAGAATTCCAGTGAGAAACAAAGTAGTATCAAGTTGGGAAAAGGTGGATTTTCTATAATTTCTAATCATATGTCCACAAATGAATAAGTAATCATGCAATTCTTCTAAATTCTGAAATACCAATACCATCATACCATACTCAAGATAGGCAAACAACTCAGGTAATTGCATAAAAGACAAATTCCTCTTGCATTCTGAAATACCAATAACATCATACCAATACCTCTTGTCTTTTATGCAATTACCTGAGTTGTTTGCCTATCTTGAGTATGGTATGATGGTATTGGCATTTCAGAATTTAGAAGAATTGCATGTATGCATAGCTAAATACAAAAGCCCCTAGTGTTTTCATGCAGGGATATGTGATAAGAATTGAACTTATAACAGCATTAGGTTTGAGACTAGCACATATTCAGTTAGAAACTGAGAATCAGGTAGAAATAAAGAAATTAAGCCAATAAGAAAAATCAACACTCTTTAGCTATTTAAATTACAATCTACCAAAAGAAACGGAAACAGAGATTTAGCATTATTCTCTTTCCTTTCCTTGACTTAAAGGTTACTGTTATTACGTTTCAGCCAGAGTTATGTTGAAAAATAGAGTTCATATGACAGTGACAAATATAAGTCAGAAATACTTTGTTTCAGTATACATGCTACAAAGACTGAAAACTAATATGCAGTGAAGAATCTGAGAAGAACAAACAATGCATGCAAAATATTTAGGAAGAGAGCATATGATAAGAACAGAAATCCTCAAGGATCAATACCTTCAACTTCAAAGCAATAAAATTTTCCCAGCCTAACTATTAGGGATAATATCTATACTTTCTGCCAGAGACTAAGTGCTAAATTATTTGACCAGCAGATAAATATTCAGAATTTTCAGAACAAATTCAATATATAAAGTCAATATGTCATATAGCAATCACATAGTCAAAAATAGATTCTAGTAATTATCATTTATTTTTTATTTTTTTTTTGGTTTTCAATATCAAATTTCATTACCTAGTCTTTTGATTAGACAATGAACAATTTTAGATTCAAAAATTCAGGCCTTGCTTAGTTAAAAAGGCATCAGTATTGGAACACTATAGTCCTGAATACCCAGAATTCCTCTAAATTATAGGAATATCAGGATATCAAAGGAATTTGCAATCTATGACCACAATTTTGAAACAGGAAATTCTGAATTAGCTTCATATGCTCTTTTATCATGGTAACAAGAACCATGAATGAAAATAACTGCATCAGTGGTTAAATAAGCCCAAAAAAATTCCAAAAGTGGTTTCATGGCCATATACAAGTAACATGTCAGGACTTATTCTTAAATTGCAGTTTTAGATTAGCATCCAAACCCTTAAGAATCAGCTATGCACTTACATCATCTCAGAAACTCAGAGAGTGTGCAGAGCATCACTTATACGCAGAGACAAAGAAAGATAAAACAGTTGAACTGGAATACTAGATGGTAATTAACACAGAGAGTACCAGAAAATAAGTATCCAAAATCAATGAGCAACTATAAATTCAGGAATTCTATGAAACAATTTGAAGTCAGTCAAGTAAAAGCAAAATAAAAGCACTAAAACTGAAACACATAACATGATATTGATATAACATTGAAGCAGACTAACACACTGAGATACCAGTTAACAAAAAGCTTTGCTGCACTCACATGCATATAAAATAAAAATAATATAACAAAATAACAAAACTTCGACTTCAACAACAAAACAACCTGTTTGATTTTAAAAACAAAAAACAAAAAAATGAGCACCAGCTAAACTTTCCTCCAAAACCCACTTAGCTAAAACCTTAAAAACACACCAAAAAACATCCTTTTCATACTCAGTAGCACCAAAAATGGTTCCTACATAACAAAGAAATGGTTGTTCGTTCTTCAAGCCACACAAAAACTGGAACGACCCCAGATGGTTAAAACCGAAAAAGATGAAGTAGAGATGGTTTACCTTGGTGTCTAATAACAACCTAAGCTCTTGTCCATGAAACAGCACAAGTTGAAGTGGGTTCTTAAAAGTTAAAACAAAGGGGAAGTGGAAACCAAGGCGCACTGCACCCATACCTTAGACTCGGAGAGAGAGAGAGAGAGAGGTGTTGGAGTAAAGACAAAGAAGTGAAGTGAAATGGACCAGAGAGAGAGAAAAGCGTGATAAGACAAGACATGGAGAGAGAGACCCCACAGTGTGACAGAGTGTGAGAGAGAGAGAGTGAGAAGAAGAAGAAAAAAAAAAGGTACGTCAGTTTCAGCGCTTAATATGCGAGAAAGAAAGGGCACGCGAATGATAAGGGACACACATGATAAGTTCACTCACATAGGTAAATGCTTTAACCCGTCATAACTTTCAAGATACAATAATAGTTTCACACTATTTTCTTATGAGAATATACTTTCTCGGGCCAAAGTTATTTCGTCCACGCATTAAAAATGTGAGTGGGATTTGGTAAAAAAGAGAAGAAAAAAATCTCATTCACTTTCATATGTATCCAATGTAAGAGATAATTTAATGATTTTATTAATTTCATGTTAAAGGAAATAAGTTATCTCATGTTCCACTTTCTTTACGGTAGTTTTTTTTCTTCAGGTAGGTGGGTCTGTGCATTGTCCACTCTTCAAGTCCAATGTGCTCTCGTGTGAGGGGGCGTGTTGAGATATATAGTCCCACATTAGTTATATGGATAACTAATGTGGAGTTTATAAGACCTTGGGCACTCCCACCCTTTGAGCTAGCTTTTGGGGTGGTGTATCCCAATGTTTTTATCAAGTGGTATCAGAGCCTAAGGAACCTTGATTTTTTTTTCGGTGAACCCATTGTGCATCATCTTTTAAATTTATTTTTTCCGGAACTGTCTCATTGTCACTTTCCGGACGTTTCTTTCTTTTCTTTCTTTCCTTTTTCTTTCCGCATAGTCGCCGGAACCTCGTTACAGCTTCTGCTCCGTCAACCACCACCGTCCGGTGGCCTTTTTCGGCGATCCATATACCGGCGTGCTCGTCTCAGCAGCGCGGTCACAACCGCACCGGTCGCGTCCCCATCCAAGATCACACGCGCCCTCACGCACGCGCGCAAGTTGCGCCACCCTCTTCACACTGGCGGCGCGTGGAGGCTCCTCTCTGGCCGTGGTTGGTTGCGTTCTTCTCGCCTCACTGCGTAGGTTTTGCATCTGGTCTTGTTTTGGTATTTAGACCTCGTTTTACGTTGACGCACAGATCCCTCTTCTACCAGTTAGTTGTGTGATCTGTCTTTCTAATTTTTTTTTCTAATCTTGATTATGGATTCCCCTATCTCTGCTGTTTCTGGGTCTCCAGCTGGCAACAAGTCGGACTCTACTATTTTTTCAAATTATATCCTTACTCCGCTGAGTGTGGATAAATTAGATGGGACAAACTATGATACTTGGTCGTCAGATCTGCGACTTTGGTTGGATGGGCAGGATTATACATCCCATCTCACTACTAAGGCTGATTCTGTGGCAGCCAATAAGCGCACACGATGGAAGATGATTGATGCTCAGTTGTGTAGTCTCATTAAAGCTACTCTTCATCCGTCAATTAAGCAGATTTTTCGACCTGCCAATACCTGTGAAGCTATTTGGAGTCAGGCAAAAGCACTGTACACCAATTATACACAACGACTCTATGGTGTGTGTCAGAAATTGATGACTACCTTTGCTCCTCGGGACTTCCATTGTCCTATGACTGAATATTTGGGGAAAGCTCAGATTTTGCTTCATGATCTTAACGAACTTCTGCCCCTCACTGGTGATGTTACTAAGGAACAGGAACAACGTAATACACTTTTTACGTTGTTCATTTTATATGGTTTACCTGACCATTTGTCTGCCAATCGGGATCAAATTTTGGGATCTGCTACGGTTCCTACACTGGATTATGTGATGTCTACCATGCTTAGGATTCCATCTAAGCCCTCTACGTCACCAGAACATCCTATGATGCATGTACCTCCAATGGATTCTGTTGACTCTCCCGCTCTTGCTGCTCAAAGTTATGGTCGTGGACGTAAATTCTCTAAAGGAAAGCTAGTATGCACGCATTGTCATCAGACCAATCATACTGTTGACCGTTGTTGGAAGCTTCATGGAAAACCACATCAACCTCCTCGGAATGCTCATGTTGCTCAAGCTTTCTCTAGTACCTCTGCTCCAAGGTTACCTTCCGGTGCACAACCTCCAGCTGCTCTTCTTCACGAATTTGTGACTTGGTGGTCTGAGAAGCAAACATCAGGTCCAACTGCATCCATTGCTCCCACTGGTAATTCTTTTGCTGGAATCTCTCAGTTGCACTCTATAGGCCCTTGGATTCTTGATTCTGGGGCTTCTGATCACATTTCTGGTAATAAGTCCTTATTCACTTCCATTTGTACTACTGGTTCTTTTTCCACTATTACTATGGCCAATGGGTCTCTCGTCCAATCACAGGGGATTGACACGGTTCTTCGTTTACCTCATTTATCTCTGGATCATGTTCTCTATGTTCCAGATTCTCCTTTTAACTTACTTTCTGTTAGTCGTTAGACAAAGTCCATTGACTGTGTTGTTTCTTTTACTAAAACCTCTGTCATCTTTCAGGATCGGAGTTCGGGGAAGGAGATTACCAAAGGATGTGAGTCTCAGAACCTCTATCAACTATTTTCTTCTTCTTCAGCCTGCTCCACTGTGGATTCTCCTCTTACTATACATGCTCGTCTGGGCCATCCTAGTCTTGCAAAGCTTCAGAAGATGGTTCCACATTTATCGTCTCTTTCTAATTTACATTGCGAGTCTTGTCAGTTTGGGAAACATACTCGTAATACGTTCCCAAGTCGTCTTAGTCGTCAAGCTGTCTCTCCTTTCTCTGTGGTTCACTCTGATATTTGGGGACCAAGTCGTCATTCTTCTACTTTAGGATTTAAGTATTTTGTTACTTTTATTGATGATTATTCCAGATGTACTTGGTTATTCAGTCTGAGTTATTTTCTATTTTACAGTTATTCTACAATGAAATAAAAACTCAATTTGGTATTCCTATTCGTACTTTTCATAGTGATAATGCATGTGAGTAGTTATCTCATCAATTTCAACAATTCTTTTCATCTCATGGCATTATTCATCAAACATCTTGCCCTCATACACCCCCAACAAAATGGTGTAGCCGAACGCAAGAACCGCCATCTTGTTGAAACCACTCGTGCTTTGTTAATTGATGGCAATGTTCCATACACATTATGGGGTGATGCTATACTTACTGCATGCTATCTCATTAATCGCATGCCATCATCTGTTCTCAATCATACACTACAAGAAAAAAGTTTATTTGTGACGAAAAAATTTTGTCATAAATTTTGTCACAAATGACAATTTTCGACACAAATAATCAAATTTCGTCACAAATAAAATTGCGACACAGGAATTTGTGACGAAATTTACTTGCGACGTAGGAATTTGTGACAAAATTTCATAAAATTTTGCCACTAATAAGATTTTTTCTTGTAGTGATAAGGTACCTCACTCGATTTTATTTCCCCATCAATTTTTATTTCCTTTGACCCCACATGTGTTATGTTCTACGTGTTTTGTTCAAAATCTTGGTCCAGATTTGGATAAATTAGCTCCCAAGTCTCATAAATGTGTTTTTCTGGGTTATCCTCGATCTCAAAAAGGTTACTGTTGCTACTTTCCAACTTTACGTCGATACTTTATCTCAGCAGATGTTTTCTTTTTGAATCAGTTTCCTTCTTTGGATCTTCTACTACTCCTGTGGACACTAATTAAGTACAGTCATCTCTCCCAGTTGACTCTTTTGAATACCTTCCGTCTTTACCAGTCCATGTTTCTGACTCTCCTTTTATCACCTCTTCTCCTGATGAGATTCAACATAGTTCGTCAGATGTTTCTTGGGCTCACATTCGACTGCATCTCTTCCCTCAGCTTCGGTCCCACTGTCGGACAGTGACCTTCCCATTGATCTTCGTAAGGGTACTCGTGATACTCGCCCTCCAGCCAGGTATAAAGTTAATATTAGCTACCATCGTCTTTCTCCATCATATTATGCATGTCTTTCTTCTTTGTCCTCTGTGTCTATTCATAAGACTACAGGTGATGCACTTTCACATTCGGGATGGAGACAAGCTATGATTGATGAAATGAGTGCTCTTCATCATAATGGTACGTGAGATTTGGTTCCTCTTCCATCTGAAAAATCTGTGGTTGGTTGCAGATGGATTTATGCTGTTAAGGTTGGACCTGATGGTTAAGTGGATCGTCTTAAAGATCGCTTGGTGGCGAAGGGTTTCACTCAAGTGTTTGGATTGAATTTTGTTGATACTTTTTCTCCTGTGGCGAAAATATCTACTGTTCGCCTCTTTATTGCCATGGCTGTTATTCGCCATTGGCCTCTCTACCAACTTGATATTAAGAATGCTTTTCTTCATGGTGATCTTGAGAAGGAAATTTATATGGAGCAATCTCCTGGATTTGTTGCTCAGAGGGAGTCAGGTCTTGTTTGTCGTCTTCGTAAGTCTCTATATGGTCTCAAGCAATCTCCAAGAGGTTGGTTTGGTAAATTTAGCAGTGTTGTTCAACAATTTGGCATGACTCGGAGTGAAGCTGATCATTCTCTCTTTTATCGCATTCAGCTTCTGGATCTATTTACCTGGTGGTATATGTAGATTATATTGTCATCACAAGTAGTGATAGGCATGGGATCACTCAGTTGAAACAACATTTATGTCACCATTTTCAGACTAAGGATCTTGGGAAACTTCAATATTTCTTGGGAATCGAGGTGGCCCAATCTAAAGATGGAGTTGTGATATCTCAGAGGAAATATGCTCTGGATATTCTTGAAGAAACTGCTTTGTTAAACTCTAAGTCTGTTGATACTCCTATGGATCCAAGTATCAAGTTTCTACCAAATCAGGGGGAGCCCTTTCCAGATCCTGAGCAGTATAGAAGATTGGTTGGAAAATTGAACTACCTCATAGTCACTCGGCCTGATATTTCATTTGCAGTTAGTGTGATCAAT